ATTGTTGTCAATCTGAAGTGCTGGTGTGATTTAGTTTTTCAGACACACCAGATCACTTTAGTTTAGAATTATAATATTTATATCATTTTTATGTCATATTTTGGAAGCATTTTGATTATATTCTCAGTGTGGCCTTTTTCTTATTTCATATAATGACCGTTGGACTTCCTTTGGCTTTTTCATGACAGGCCATGCCTTCAACGAACAGGATCGCTGTGTGTGTGCTGGATACGACAACGGGGACATTAAACTCTTTGACCTGCGCAACATGTCTGTTCGATGGGAAACCAACATTAAAAATGGGGTAAGGTCAACACGGGCAGTCCGTCGGTCAGTCATGAAAGACTCTCAGTCAGTGTGGCTCCGAGGAAAGAAATGTGAATCCACTTTGAAAAGAAAAGAGAATGCGAAAGTGACAGGAAAATCCGTGAAAAAAACAAAGACTTTGTCTTCAAGCTTGGAACCTGTGGTTTGAATAAACATTGTTTCTGTGGTATTCAAACCTGCACAAAGGGGAGACAAAAACAGGGACAGATGTGGAGACAGAGCTGAGACCAATTTCCCAGCATCCATTAGACTAAACTTAAAACCACTGAGGGGAACTGAGGCTACAGTCCATCCACATGTCATTCACACAAAGAACTCTGTTGAGTTCATTATTACAGTCGTCTCTCTCAGTGAGTGTGTGTGAAGCTGCCAGTGTTCATGAAGTCCATTTGAACATGATCACCGTGGAGCTGCAGCCTGTGATAAATGTCTCTGACAAACAGTGGTATTTTCTCTGATGTCATGAGCAGGTTTGCTGTGTGGAGTTTGACCGGAAAGACATCGACATGAACAAGCTGGTGGCCACTTCCCTGGAGGGAAAATTCCACGTCTTCGACCTCAGGACCCAGCACCCCACCAAGGGTTTTGCCTCAGTTTGTGAAAAGGTACAGTGAGTGACCCCGGGTGAAGTCAGACAGACGGGTGTTTGGCTCCGACAGATGGAAAAAATGTCACAGATTCATTATCATTATTGTTGCTTTAACTGTAGAACAGTTCTGACTGTTTTTATAGCTGTAAGTGTTTGAGGTGTGTGTGTGTGTGTGTGTCTAACCTTTTATAACACTGCTCCAAAAATGACTTTTGCTTTTGGGGGAAAATAGTAGAAAAACACATTCAAACCACTGTTGGTTCAAAGTCCCAGCCCAATTTTCTGCCTGGTCTTAGAGATCACAGGTTTGTCTTTGCTCTGAAAATATTTGCTCAGTTCTTTTGGCCAGAGAGAAACGCAGTCTCCTGTCATTATCATCACTAGCTTCAGTGTTAGATATTTTTAGCTCAACATAGTTACGAAGAATCTGAAGGAAGCCGTCACCAAACCACAACTCTGTCCTGTTTTTATAAATGGTCTACCTGCATCCTGTTTGTTGTTGCATGCTCTGCTGCTAACACATAATTTGAGTAAATTCAGGGCAGTGGTGGCTTAGTGGTTAAGACAGCAGACTTGGGTCCGGAAGGCTTCAGGTTTGAGTCCACCAGCTGCCAAGTTGCACCACTGAGGTGCTCTGAGCAAGGCATCGTTCCCACACACTGCTGCCCACTGTTCACTTTGGTGATGGGTTAAAAACAGAGGTCACATTTAAATTATCAATTAAAAATCACTTTAAACAGATCACAGTAATTTGGTCAGTATCAGAACAGACCTGGTTAATGTCAGCAGAATGTACCTTTACACTGAAGGACAACGAGGTCAGCATTTTTTAACCCTAAGTTTATTGCAGTAACTAAGAGGTCTTGTGTTGTTTTTGTTTTTGTTTTTATTTCAGGCTCACAAGTCGACCATCTGGCGTTTTTTTTTTTTTCAGGCTCACAAGTCGACCATCTGGCAGGTCAAGCATTTGCCTCAAAACAGAGAAATCTTCATGACGGCAGGAGGAGCAGGAAACCTCCACCTGTGGAAATAGTAAGTTCTCCTATGCAGTACTTACGACTGTAATACTTGTATATTTTGTCATTTTGAGCAGTGGTTTGTCAAACTTGTTGTTTTTTCATGTTATCATGTTCCATGCTATAGCAGTTAGCATGGCTGCCTTGCAAACAGAAGGCAGAGAGTCCTGGGTTCCATTCCCAGAAGAACCACATACTTGGCGCCTCCAAGTGGCAGCCAGTTAAATTAAACAACTTCTGTCGGGTGTAAAGATGTGTTGTTTCTGCTCTCGTTTACAGTGAGTATCCTCGTCAGAGATGCAAAAAAGAGTCCAATGGCGTGGAAGTGGGCGTCGCCGGCACTGTCAACCTTTTACAGAACGTGACGGTGTCCACGCAGCCAATCGCCAGCTTGGACTGGAACACTGACAAACGGGGGCTGTTTTTGTGTTCAGGCTTCGACCAGACTGTCCGTGTTCTCATCGTTACCAAACTGAACCTGGTGTGAAGAAGTCCCTGACCTCAGAACAGCACAGGAATGACACGTTTACAGAGGCGTTGAAGTCAGGGTCAAGACTTTAAGGGTTGGAGGATGATAACAAGACGGATGTTGAAGAAGAAGAAAGAACAATGACCACAGTAAAATATAAAAACAAATTGAAGGATAAGCAGAAAAAAATAACAAAATGTTAACTCCTGGGTGGGAGAGTAGATGGTACAATAATAATGGGTGTAGCCGTCAGGTTGCAAAGATAACAGTTACCAGAAGTGTTTGAATATTAGAAGCAACTCTGTGTTGTTGTGAATTGAGGATGCGAAGCAACGGCCGTTTCTGAATTTAAATTGACAATCCCATTTAGTAGAAAACAAATAATAAAGCATCACCTGAAATGTTGCACATGTAGAAACTCTGTGATCGACAGTTCAGGTCTGTGTTGGTGTAAAATGTGTTTGTAGATTTGTGCCAATTTATAAATTGTCCCAGATGACACATGTTGAACTTTATGTTTCTAATTTTTAATTGTGATCCTTTACAACAAGCAAAGACAAACGACGAGCTTCACACACACACACACACACACCATTAAAACCAA